TTGATTGTGACTCCCTAGAGCCCCAGTAAATAATTCACATGAACAGTTGATTGTGACTCCCTAGAACTATTGCATTGATGATTTTTATTTACTACAGTAACTTGCAGTAATTTCAACATAGAAGTAAACTACAATCGAAAGACAACATTTCGCAGGGTCTTTTAGACATCACCATAAACAGTTTGAAAACAAGCTGTTTCAGCAGAGCACAGTCTTACACTTTAATATTGGTATTGCAGGAATCTTGAAGGCTATAAATTGTGCATTGGTAAATCTGTTGGAAATATGAGCACTATAAGCATGCCAGTGATAGACATATTTCATGCTCATGCTTGTTTTAATTTGATGCTGATCCACTGTTTTATTGTCGATGATTTTATGAAAACAATCCTGAATCCTAGTGAAAAACAAAACAAATAACTACAGGCATATCGCCATTGTCTCCTCTAAGATTTTAGAAACTATTATCTCAAAGCTGCAGTATGTTTCTTTAACATGCTCAATTTGGTTTTAAACCTGGGCACTCAATGGATACATGTGTATGTGTATTTATCAACCATCTGATGTATGTCGATGGCTTGGTTATCTTGATCAAGCCCATCTATCTGTGATTTGCAAACTCTTGTTAATGCTTGCTATGAATATGGCTCAGACCTTGATTATATCTACCATGCTGAGAAGTCTGAATGTTAGTAGTGTATTCTAAATGTGCTCTTAAAAGCAGTGTACTAAATATATATAGTATATGTATATGTATATTTTTGTCATTTCTCATTGTTTGATTTTTTTACTGTTGCTTTGCAAATAGGCCTCAGAATTGTTAAGTACCTCGGAGTTTAGGATATATAGTCTGTTCAACTTAATGTACTAAATTTCATGAATGTATCCATTACCTTGTGGTCAGAACTAAAAATCAATGGCTCACAGGTACATTTGTAAGACATCATTTTTTTAGTCTATGACCCTATGGTCACCTAAGATTCACATATATCAGTATCAAGGCAATTGTAGTAGAAATTTTCAAGAAGTCAATTATAGCATTTTCTCCTAAAATATTCACTGATATCATCACAAAATTTAATACAGGGTCCATATATACCATACCACGTATCAAAGCAATAGATTTAGTACTTTTCAAGAAGAAAAAAGGTGGATGCTGGATGATGATGACAACAATGGACAATCACCTATACAAACATTCTGCCTTTCAATTTCCATGGCAAATTATTATGCACATTAGGAAATTAATATGCAAAGATTCCAACCAAAAACTAATCAGGTCTTTCATTTGTTCAAAGACATCTATATACCGAGTTATATTGAAATCTGACAAGCTTTTCTTGAGATATTTACATACATACAATGATGCATTGACAATGGAAAATGAACTGAACAGAAACTTGCTTTAACAAATTAATACATGAGAATACCAGCAACATATGGAAAGAGTTCCTTTTGTACCCTCCAATTCTAATTTCACCCCCCGAATTCAATTGTATATGCCCTACTAGATAACTATAGGTGTTCTTAGGCGTATATAAAAAATAACATTATGTTCACAAGTAAAGACAATGAAGGTCATTTGGATTATATGCAATGCATGATGAGAAGCCATGTTTACCTCCCCTTCCTTTATTGGTATGTCTCTGTGCTTTCCATGTTCTACTATCTTTAAGCACATGTCACCTTTCTCCATATAGAACATCTGAAAAGAAATATATATATTTACTATTTATTTATCAGTTATATTGTACCTACATGTATGTGGAATTTATTATGGCACATTAAATCTTTTAAACTTTAAGTGCTATATAATCTTGTCAACCAAAATTTTTAGTCCTGTGATGAACAAACATAAGTATGTGTTTTGGACTTCTTCCAAATGAGAACTAACAAATCTAGCTCAAACCAAAGCAGGAAAAAATAATTTGAACCATTTTCATATCAAGCCCTTATTTTTTTTTTATAACCAAATGTATTCAGATCAAATGTTCCCTCTCACCTCTTCTCCTTCCTCTATGTGGTAATCTTTTCTGATATTTGGTCCACCAACAAAAAATGATTTCATCTGCCCCTTTTGGTGCCTATTTAACAAATCAATTACCATATAGTAAATATATCAAATAATATATAAAAGCATAAAACAGAAATGAATGAGTTCTGCTGGTGAATTTTTGGGAAACCAATTGATAATGTAAATCCAATTGTCTTCCACCCATATGCACACAAGATAAAAGAATAATTGCAAAGTAAATACTAATTTATTATAACAGCAATATCAACTGATACAAAAGTAAAATCTTAATAGTCCATGATTTCTTACATTACATTACATTCGCATAACAAATTTGAGTTATTATGACGTATGTTGAATTACAATTCCTATGACAAGAGATACAGATCAGGATTCATCTAATATAAACACAGGGAAATTGATCGTAAACCCGAATACCGTGTCACAATGTACAATTTAGTCAAACTATTTTTGTGTCCCTCATACAAGTTGTTGCTCTTGTTCTTCTAGAGAAATTATAATCTCACACCGATCTACAGGTTACTGCTTTGTTCGATGTAATGTAATGTAATGTAATGTGATATAATGTAACTCAAACAGGCAACATAAATGTTCAGTAATTTGCATATGAATAAATATGTAGGTAACAGACATGTATACAATCTGCAACCGCAACAAAGTCAATGTTGCAAATCAAGTAATTTAAACACTACTGTCGTCATACTGCATTGTGTTCAACATAGGACTTATAGTGACCTAGAGAACACACATAAAATACGTTGATATTTTTTACTGCATAGCAGTTTAAGTAACATCAATATGCAATAGGTTTTTCGCTGTGATGTAATTTGAAAAAATAAAAAAAAAGTCAGTATGTACATTAGGTCAGTATGTACATTCACCCAAAATTAGTAAACTGCTCACGGCTGTTTTACATATGTGTATGTGTATGTAAATACTAAACCTATTATCTCTCTGGATAATCTATTATAAATAACCACTGAATTTGTACACTGGTTCACCAAAATAGAATAAAAATTTGAAATGATCGACTAGCAAACCATAGGGTCTATATTTAAAATGGTGACCTATATATGGTTATTATGTTTCTGTGCCTCTTAGCAATGGTATTAAAAATATAGATATATATATACGCATATAATCATACTGTAATGCAAAGTACTTTATTTTAGCTGAAATAAATTTTCACTGAAAAGGATTTTGAATGTTTCGTATGGGAGTTTATTTTCACTGATTATTGAGTTGAATGTCAAATATAGAAAAAATGAAATATTCACTAATCTTTCCTTCAGTGAATATAAAAGATTTTACAGTACTTGAATGTTTTGGGAATGTTCATTATAATGTTAGAGATCGACATATTCATTGTGATGACGTCATACGCTTTAGCACTTATCTGCCATTTGTGGATAAGGCCAGACTTTTATTATCCATTGTTTCATGAACCCGCCGAATGAAGAGGAGCCGAAAATGAAATAAAAATAAAATTTTATTTCAGCGTAATTTCTCGCGCCCACCGACTTGTAAGTGCAAAAAATTGCTAAAAAAAAATTAATTTTATCTTCATTTTGTTTCCGCCCGCCGCATAACAAAGCCAAGTTGCATTTTCGTGGGAGTATCATGATCAAAGTACCGAAGTCTCGCACAGATGAGAAACAAGATTATACATGGAATAAAATTTTATTTCATTTCTTCTCTCCAATCAATGATCTCACTTACAATTCATTGAGAATCACACAAATTTAATGGAAAAAAAAGAATTAATTTTTTTTTTTTTTCGCCCTCCTCAAAAAAATTTCCTTATAAAAACTCGAGAAACAAGGAATAACAAGTACTTGTCCATATTGAGAGATATTTCTCTGGAACAGCATTCAAAATCAGCCATTTTGAATACATATATATATATAACATGATGTATAATGAATATATAAAATTTGAATATAATCAGTCAAAGCATTTAAGAGATATGGCTCTAGAAGCCCATCATTAAAACAAAATGGTCGCCAGTCAGCCATTTTGAATCCAATCTGAAAAATAAAATGACGTGCATCAGGAACCTGTAATGTCTAATGTGTTTTATAAGTTTGAACAAAATCCATCCATAAATGCAAGAAATGCTCGATATTCC